GCAAAAATGTCAAGGAAATAATGCCCAATATAGTACATACTAGTTTCCTTCTTTCCTTTCTTTCTTTCTTTCTTTCTTTCTTTCTTTCTTTCTTTCTTTCTTTCTTTCTTTCTTTCTTTCTTTCTTTCTTTCTTTCTTTCCTACATTTTTTTTAGACCTTGAGTCAAATGTCTACAAGGAATAAAATAACCTCAAATTCTAGAATACTGCATTACAAAAACCTGTTATGTAGCTTGGATTTTTAAACCATTAGTCCAAAAAAAGCTGCAATAATGATGTCAAAATTGTCATTTAGGATGTTTCCAGTCTATTAGATTCACTGGTGTACAAACCCACTCTTATAATGTTAACACTTTATTAAGCAGCTGGGACGCTGCACCTGGACGAGGTCTTCATGTTGCTGCCACTCATTTAAAAGTAATGTGTAGACCACCTTCCTTTATGTATCCATAAGGGAAATATATCCTGCAAAACTTCCTACAACTGATTTGCAAGAGCAAAATAGAAAATGGTTCCAGACTAACAGTGCACTGTAATTTCTGTGACAAAACAGACTGGTACTTAACCCACTGGGAGCTCAAACAGAAAAATGCTATTCCTTGGTAATTCAAGTCCAGTTTTATATAGTCCCTCTTTTCCTTCTGTACAATGGAATGTGATGCAATTCCTGAGATATGAGCTGTACGCTCTCATCTGCTTGGAAAAAGCAAGTCTTCATTGGGCAACCAGGAGTTCCTGAAGGCTTTGTTTCTTAATAGCTGACACCCTCCAAAAATTACGGGGTGGCTCCCATGTCATTTCCCCATATTGCTACCTCAGAGGAATCATTAAGTCAGACAAAGCTTGCCTACTAATGAGGTACCACAAAGCTCTTTTATTGCACTGTCTGATTGACTGGTCTGGCAGACCCATCCAAGTATCCTGGATTTCGATGATTTTGAAATCTGGTCATGAATATTTTGATTTTGTGTGTGTTGTAATATGACACCTGCTGGATTCAAGAGGCTGGATGAGAATGTCAAGTTTCAGTAGAAATTAATATTAACAAGCAAATATGTTTAAGCTCTTCTTGTTGACAAAGCTTAGATATATGATTCTAATGCTCTCTGGCAGTCTGGTAACCAGAAATAAACAAAAATAATTTGACATATATTTATTACTTCATTTAGGTGCCAGGGATATTTACTCTATCTATCTATCTATCTATCTATCTATCTCTCTATCTCTCTATCTCTCTGTCTCTCTATCGCTTTTCAGGGTTTTGCAGCCTCACTCGTGAATTCTGAATGCTTGCATTTGGCAGCAATTAAAATCTCATTCTCCAGGTTCCTTGCAGAGGTCAGCCCCTCTCTTCCACTTTTTTTTTTTTTTTTTGCTTCCTGGAGAGTGAGGAGCAGGTGCTGACTCTTTTGTTTTCCAGAAGTCAGCATAGTTTATTTTGCAGATTATCTGCAACTCTTGTTTTCTCACTGCTTTCAGTCACTCCAGGATTTTGGATGTGGAGGGCATCAATGATCAGTCTGAAACCTTAGGGAATTTAAGAAAAACCTGCTCTTCTTTCTGTCCTCCAACATGAAATCATTGTAGTGGTAGCTTGTATCTTCAATTTGAAACTCCACCATGTGAATTGATAACTTATCTTGGGGGAAAAGAATAAAGTTCAAGACCAATTTCGTCTACGTTTTGTGTTCACTAGGAGTTGGGTAAGAGACATAGCCAATATCATACATTTCAAAATTAAATCTCTCTCAATCTGAAAATTCAACATTTCATCCAATTTGTTTACAGCACATCCATTAAACTCTTACCTAAAACATAAAACAAAATTTTAATTTCTAATAGAAAATACAGAAAATATCCAAACCTATACCATAAGCAAGACTTAAGAACTGAAGGCTAATTTTATCAGCACTGCCTTTAACCTTGATAACAACAACTGTCATATTACATTTCTTTTAAAGAAAAAAATAACAAATATATGCTTCAGAGATGATAAAATTATTCATTTCTCTGTGTTTTACTTTTCCTGTATAGGGGATTTGAAATACTATGGATGATAACTTAAAAATATATAAAATCAAAGTAAATTTTAGTTCCATTTAACTCTTCATTAGAAAGTACTGACAGGTGTCTGTAACAAGTGCATGACTATAGCCAATATTTTATTTAACACATAGTTAAGTATGAATTTTTTGAATAATTGATATAATTATTCATCTATGAACTTAATCAAAAAGTCAGTAATGGAATTTATAAGAAAAATGTGCTCCTCTGAAGACATATAAACAGAGAGAACATCTCTCAATAATTGCTTTTATTAAACAAAATTGCCCTTATCAGAAAGTGTTCTTTAAGAAAAGGTAGCACTCTCTAAATTAACGGCCTTCAAAATAGTATTTTTAAATGGGAAGGGAAGGGAAGGGAAGGGAAGGGAAGGGAAGGGAAGGGAAGAACTGTCTAAGTTTCTGAATTAGTAAATTCACACTTTGTGATAGCCTTCTCTGACCTGAACTTCATCCAGCACTCATTCCTGCTGCAAATACAGCAGCATGGATATTGCAGGCAATGCACAGTTACGGGTGAGGCAGGTACCCTGAGGATCTCACTGGAAGAATGTGCAAAATAGAGACAAATACGCCTAAGCCTATAATTTTTCAGCTGTCATCAAAAAATGAAGGCTAAAGAAAGGCTGCAATTCTACAGCAGTGAGGCTATCAGAAAGTAGCAACAGCTAGAAGAGAGAAGAGATTTCAAGTAAGGAGGTCTCCCAGACTTCAATATTTCCTTTAACAGCTCTGAGCACCTGGCTTAATTCTATGGTTTGTGTTTTCCAGTATTTTAATACTGCTTTGCTTGCTTTTCGTGAATGACCAATAAACTGAAAAACCAGCACTGTTTTTTTTTTTTAGCTTAACTGACCATATTACCATTACAGTTTTTGTTTTCTCATCTAGTTCAGACTATCACACTGAATGACATTCCTGTGACACCTCCATCAGAGTCTAGGAGCAACCGACAAGCTGTACTTTCCAGCCATACTTTAAGCTGCCTCCACCAGTGACACACAGTAGCTGGCTGTGTGTGGATTCACAGTCTGCTGAAAGGAAATGGGTTATTTAATGCCATTTCCAGCCAGTCTGACTAATCTGTTAGCTCTGCACTGCAAAGACAAAGTACACGGTCACAAGGTAGTGCAGAACACTAGATGAGGATGGAACAGTGAGTATCATCATTTGAGGTCATATGCCATTACCGTGACTGTCTAAATTACCTCCAAAATGAGACACGGAAGGGTGTTTGTTTCTGAAAAATTACGTTCTCTATCAGATGACAACCACATTACCTTACCCTACTTTTTTTTAGCCTTTATACTGTTAAACTTAACATTAGAGAAAAATATAATGACAATTTTTTTTTTTTGTCTTTTTCTTCTGGTTTTCTCATGAAAGAGTGATCTGAAGTTTCTTTTTATTTTTCCTCAGGTACTGCAAGCAGAGAATTTTGGAACAAACTGTTCTGCTTTGTTATTTCAGAGCAAAAGATATTTTAGAATGCAAATATCCATAATAGAACTCAGGATCTTACAGGCTTGTTTGAAAGAAGGTATTTCTTAGCCACTTGAGAGCATGCTGCGTCTCCAGTCTAATTCAATGTGTTTTGCAAAAAAAGCAAGGAGTGTGAGTTTACTTATTTAAGCAAAGCCCTTAAGCACATTAAGCATTTAAAACATTGAGACTGAACGTACTTAATTGCTTTGCTGTATTTGAGTCATAATGATTATTGCAATAATTAGTGTATGCTGTTATTTCTTGTCAGTGCATGCATTTAAGGGTTATTGAATGAATAAACTGATTAATAATATTTGCAGTAAGAAAAGGAAATATAATTAGCTTTAATACAGTTAAAAATACATTTTACTTAATAAAACTCCATCCCTCCCCATGAAACAAAGTGTAACAAACTTGTGAGAGGATTTGAAAATTCTCTGTGTTTGGGTTTTCTGTTGGGTTCTTGATTGTTTGGGGGTGTTTGTGCATATGGAAGCTGGGGGATTGTTTCTTTGTTTGGTTGTTGTTTTTTGTTTGGTTTTTTTTGGTAGGGGGTGATGGTGTGGCTATTTGTTGGAGGAGAATTGCTTTGAGGAAATACCTCAAACAGGAAACAGGTAAGTTTTCAAAAACAAGGTCTGTCCCACTTTTGCCTTCTGGTCTGAGCATCCAGGCTTCACAGGTCTTGGACAACCCCTCAGTTTTGATGGCTGTTGTGTACCCCAATCCATTCAGACTTTTCCTCCAAACTGGAACCCAGAATCATTGAGATCCCAAATCACAAACACAGAACTGGAAAACATGTAACTTTCAGGCAACAGTTGAATCCTCATGGCCTGAAAAAAATTTTTCTCATGCTGTGACCCTCCCTATCTGTTAGCTTCCAAGACTGTTTTCAACTCTGAAACTTCCTGTTTTCTACACATTTTTGGAAGGAGGGAAAGGAAATACATTTTAATAGTAATTTTAAGATGTTCTAATTTCAATTAATCTTTCAAACACTTCACCAAGTTTCTTGTATAACCAGATTACTATTTTGACTTTTAGCAATGACAGCACCGGGACATGAATCAACTTTTTGTTGTTTTTTGTTTTTCCTGAGCATTCATAGATTAGAAGTCAAAAATTCAAAATTCACCTATAAGCAAGCTGTTTAAAACATTAATTTTGAAATTGCCACTTAATAGTTAATCCTTTTCTTCCTTAGATGTATTCCTAATAAATTAAACCAGTCAAAACATAAAATACTGTGGCACTTCTTACTACTATATTATTCAAGAAATTTGGAAACCTTTACATGTTTGAGGTGTTGCATTAAGAAGCTGTAAGATTCTCAGTAGGATTTACGGACAACATCAATTTACTTGGTGTTATGTTGGTGTGCTTTATAAAACTGGAAAGGACTACAAGATTGTTTGAAAGCATGTTGAAATCTCAGTTTTGTACAATACATCATGCTTAAAAACTAGTTTTATTCGCAAATGTATTAGTCCAATTAATCTCAAGTAGGAAAAATTCACAATCAAGAAACAGCAATTGCAAAAAAGACACAGCTATGTTATCATCTTGATTTTCCAGAGTATATTTTCACACAAGTATGATTTTAGATTTAGATAAGATAACCATAATGCACAGTTACCTATGAACTAAATATACATTGTTTTCTTCTGCTGCATCAGTAATATGAACTTCTCTTGAGTATGTATGGTCTTCTAGCTTTGTTCACATGTAGCTGCCGTTTCAGAATATAAGGATTTTTTCTCTTCATGATTTCTTTTTCTTGGCTTGAGTTTTCTAGATCAAAAGCATCTTGCTGAAGTAACTGTAGGATGCAAGAAGAGACACACTGTTATCTACTTCTTTTGGTAATGAAGATTATGATATCCTCAACATTTTAATAAAGTATTAAAATAATTTATTGCCACCAATAGAAATTGTTACTATATTAGCTGCAGCATTAATTAAAAAATATATATAAAACTCAAGACACAAAACTAAAATCAGGCTAGAGATCAGCTGAGCCTTACAGAAGTGATATTTAAATTCTACTTCAACAAATTAGATAATTGGTTTTGACTAAAGAGGAAAGCTGGTATATCCTCCATAGACCAAAACTCAAACAGACTGAAAGTTTTCTAAAGACTATCACTCTGTTATCACATGTTTAGGTTAAATACCTGCATGCACTGCTCGCTGGTTTCATCTTTTGGGAAATATTTTAATCTACAACTTCCTGAAAAGCAGGGAACTGTGATTAAGACATATGTGTTATAACATATTTGGTTCTAGGGTAGCTCCTTTCCAGCAATAAATGCACCTATGAAGAGAGTCTTCAGAAAACTCTGGTTCTCAAAGACGTTGCAGTCCTTTGCATGGACCACCCCAGCTGAGGATTGGGATTATAAAGAACTATGACTCAACAAAGCAAACCAAAACAAACAAAAACCCAAACAAACAAACAAATCCAACCAACCAAACAAGATCTGGATTCAGCTAGACTGTACATGAAGCTGAGATAGATGAAGAAATTTGCTTTACTGAAAATTGGGTAGTGACACTGAGTTATCTTTTTTCACTACACAAAGCAGCTTTTAGTGTAATATCTAACAATGCAAGCATATTGTGCCTAGTGTGCTTCTGTGTAATCACTGTAATCGTACTAAACTAAATATCACCAATGGACTATGAACAATTACTGTTTAAGAGCAGCAATCTTCATACAATCACAATGTCAACTTCCAGAGCTCTCTTTAGGTGTAGGGAAACAAAAAGCAGGAGTTACCTTGTTGCCAGTTTCCTAGCAATCACAAGAAAAGCAGGGTACCTAGTAAAATGGTATGTATACATGGACATATATCCCTGCATTTTGAATCCAGTTTGCCTTAGGGTCTTCAAACAGAAACCTTAGGTACCTTTATTTATACTTCATAGATCCGTAATAACTTAATGTCTGTTATAAGCAGATATTAATTATGTTTTCTGGCATAGTGATGACTTTCATATGTTTGTTTGGTTACCTGGAATGGCTAAAGATGCATTTTTGTAAGAAACATACACTCAGGTCATCAGAAACTGCACTAATTCACTGAAAGAGGCACATTAGAGGTATTAAAGAATATAAAAAAGGGAAGGAAAGCTCAGACAATGTGATGAAGGTGACATGGATATGGATTTTTATATCACTACAACAGCCTAACAGAGAGTTTAACAGCATTAGAAACATGCATTTGTTACAGTTTGTGTTACCTTACCTCCCAATGCTGAAAAGCTCTGCTGTGGCAAACTTTTTGGAGTTGATATACTGTCAGCATTGCTTCCAAGCTGAAGCCATCCAGAGCAGCAGGGAATTGTCTTCCTGGAACCAGATCCTCCTCATCTACCTCTACTGTTTCCCCCATTTGGTTGTTTATGTTGTTGACAAGATTGCAGACATTTAGCAGGGTCATTTTCCAGTAAGGAAGTTTTGCTCTGTTAATCTGAAAATAAAAACACTCACGATTTAACGTATTTTGGGTTTTTTGTATTCATGTGCTACATTCAAACATTTTGTTAGAAACAAGTTTATGTTTCTGAAGTGCTTTTCATCTGGTCAACTTTTAGACAATAATTAGAGTGCAGAACTTAGGACAACTCACTTATTACACACGCCAAGTCTGCTTCCTTGCAACCTTGCCCCCCAGGTAGATACAAATGATGAAAAAGCTGAACTGCTACCAAACCAGAATGGCAGCATTTCATAGTCATTTTGCACAGGTGCAAACAAAAACACAGATGGAAATTAATATAATATAAATTCACAGGTGTAAATAAGGATAATGAATCAAACTCACTGGATAAATTCCCAGCTCAGGAATCCAGGTTGGATGCCTGTGGTTAACTAGACACTCCTCTCTAGTTCAGCGCAAATACCAGTCATCTCAAAATTCCCTGAGAAAAGGAATGGAGTCCCTGCTTCAGGACAAGCTGTCTGATGAGCCTAGGTCTGAAGTTACAGAATCTGCAAGCCCCAGGAGTTTTGGATGCTGGAAAGTGAAGAGCCTGGGAGATGTTTATTGAAGGTCTGTAGGCTTAGGAATATGGAGCAAAGATAAAACATATCTGTGAAAACAAAGTATTCCTGACTTGGTAACTGGACTGTAAAACTGAGACCAACTGTATTTAGGTGGCCCATAATGAACCTGTTACAGAAAGATAGAAAAAAGGAAATTTCACCATGGTTTGTCCCAAATTTTGTTTGTTCCAGTATCTTGCATTATGTATGAGCTCTTAAACCATTTTAAAGAAATGCTGATAAGCATGACTTTTCCTTTTCTACGGGTATTGTTTTTTCCAAGTAGTTGCAGCAGTCTTCTTCCATTTTGATTATCAATAGCAAAAAAGTAGGTTTAAAATTTAATTCCCATCTCATTTACTGCTTTTCAGGATTTTGCCATTTTCTTCATTCTCGCACTACTAATTATTTCTTCCTCAATGTATTCCTTTCAGTGCTAAGTATAAAATTTAGTCTCCTTCAACTAGAACTGGTGACATAGCAATCTCCAATCAAAAGCCAAATAGCAAATTCCTATTTATTCCTGGCAAGGATTTCCTTGCTGTGCACGCCAGGATTAGACCTTACCTATGAACTGAAATGTAGTTGCTTCTTTTCCTGTATGCACAAAGTTAAATACAGGTATGACACTAACACAGACATTGCCTTTCACACATACTTGGCAGCACTAATTGAGGGTGGATGTAGTGTTTGTTTGGCTGAACACCAGGTAATCACATAACCTGTTTCTTTAGAGCACCTTCCTAACAAAGGGGCCTTGTGTATAAGATTTATATATACTCATCACACTTGACTATTTTTTGAGGGAAAAGAAAGAAAATTCAGAGAAATGAGGAAGAAACAAGAAAAGTTGGCATCACTCTTAGCATTAGTTACAAAAAGGGGTTTTTTTGGCCATGATCATTACTCCAACATACATCTGATACATGTGTGCCCTTGAAAATGAGAATGATTTAGCCTTTTAATAAAACTGCTGTACATTCTCAGATTCCTGACAACATTAAAAAAAATATTATTTTGAGGCTAAGAAAACAAATCTGAAATCTTATTTGGAAGCCAGTAACTGATTCTGCACTCTTTACTTTGAGCTCATCTGTTTTCACATTGAAGTACTCTAGTAAGTCTATCAAATTATTTAAAAAGATGTGACAGTTTCAAGATAAAATTATTCTCTTTGCAGAATATCTGATTTTATTAACAGAAGTTAAACTAAGGAAAAGTCCAAATGCCCAAGGCAATTTCAAAATGTACTTTGGTCTGTTTTAATATATTTTTGAAATATAAAAATATGGAGCTTTCCATGACAAATGAGGAGGCTTCTCCAGTTCACTGTTCTCCCCTGGGTATTCAAAAGAAATGTGAGCTAGCACTTCAACAGCTAAATTGCAATGGAGCACAGAATCTAGAGGCAGTGCTACATGAGCAAGTGAGATTTCTGAGTTGAGAACCAAAAATATTCTAGTGGATGGAAACAGAAGAGTAAAGGATAGGGTAATTTTTGATGCCTTTTGCATTATTCATAGAATCTTTTTGATCTAATGTTACTACTTTATGTACTACTCTGATTCACATCTATGTATAAAGGAACTTTCCTCTGTGTATTAGTAAAATACTTAAATAGCAGATTTCCTTATGTGCAAGTCGTCTTAGCTCCTACTTATGAGGTGAGCAGAAAACAAATTTGCAGTTCTGTCTGCAAGCTTCTAACTAATATTTCATTTGTTAAGGGAGTCTCATTCCTATTAATGCCATGAATATATCACCTCAAAGTATTTTTATTTGGATACACCAGCTTCTGACTTACTGCTACCATTAATGATTCAGCCAGAATGAATTTTGGGTTATTTTAATTGAATGTGGAGTTTTCCAGGTCATGTCCAGTCACTAAACAGAGCAGACATGTTATTTTTCTGCTCCACTATTACTTCAAGCATTAAAATCAAACTGCTTTGCTTTTTTGGATTATGGAAAATCTCTGAGGCAGTTATCTGAAAGGTATATGTAAAAAAAACAGTTTAAGATGATGATAATCCAAATTTTCAGGTTAATTTATAATATGGGATAAATTTTATATTTTAGACATTTATATGTATTTTCCACACAGGTCTAAGCAATATCAAGCTCAACACATGTTTTGGAAAACACCTACACAATAAAACAAGGAACGCTTATCTGCTAAGTAGAACTAATTTTTTTAAGAATAACTTGAAAAATATCTGGAAATAATCTGAAGAAAGAAAGGAGATTGAAGTATGAACTAGAATTTAAAATGTATATGAATGCTGAAGGGAATATGATGTATGTATTTCCACTGTTGAACATGCTTGTAAATAAGAATCAGATACATAATTTCTCCCACTTCATGGATCTTGAAAGAGAATTTAATATTGTCTAAGAAACTGAAATAAGCATATTTCCTTCTTAGGTAACAGGCTTGTCCTATGCAAGACAAAAGAGATTTCCAAGCTATAATTTATACAATATTTTATTTCCATATCTGGTTGAATGATTATCCTCATAATTTGCCTAAGATACTGCTTTTGTTACAATCCATCCATACATCCCAAATGCTATTTTCTATTAGGAAAAATGATATCTGCTTTTTACATTCTTGTTTTTATCTAGTAAAAGCAGATAAAAAGCAAATTCATTACAAAGTAAAAATCTCAAGTTAGTGTAGGATGTCTATGGTTCCGTTCCATAATAGCAGTTGAATTTTTTTCAGATTGTAACCATAGAAATAATATATTTAATCAGATATAGCACTGAATTCTGTTAAAGAAAAAGTGCTTCCATTATGCATATTAACGCCTGTAAACCTAATTAAATTTTATGTGATGACTGAGTCAGGAAGTCACTAGCTCCTAGATAGCTGTAGGTTCCTCCTACTTCTAGGCAGCTCCTCAGACAAGGAGGTTAAACTCTCTGGGAAAATGCACTCATAAATAGGTATCCTACAACAATGAAAACTCAGTGGGTCCATGACTTCAGAAAATTAATGTTGGGTGGGATCCCAAAGGTGGAGGATATTCTAGGGCTGATATATTCTCCAAGGAATACTTTCATTTTACTTTTTTTTTTCCCCCTCTAAATAACATATGTCAATCTTTTTGAGTTCAAAAAAGGTTCTTCATGCAACTAGTGGTTTCAGGCAAGCATATAGGAAAGTGGAAACAGTTATCTCTTTGACATGAATGGAGTTTTTTATTTTAAAAAAAGAGAGACAGGAGATAACTGTCCACATATTTCGATGAGTCAGGTTTTGTTGTTTTACCTGATCTTCCAAATGGCTTTTTGGATTTTATCTTAGAAAAAAGACAGAGCATTTTAAGGACTTGTTTGATCCTTTATCCTGGTTCAGATGTAACAGCAGGGAAGGGTGACAAACTGCATTAAGTGTTGAAGACAGATTGCAATAAGCATGAACTACTTCTTTAAGGATGGAGAGTGATTCAGAAGATAGACAACTTTAAGAGCAACTTGAAAGGGGCAGCAGGCACTGGACAGCAGTCTGTGAAGTTAAAGGCATAAGGCACTTCTTTCCATAATATTGGATAGACTACTGAATACTGCAAAAGATGTGCTTAAGCTCTGGGTGTAGTCTTGATATTGTACTCCACAAGTGCCTACTTGGGTAGATTTTTGTTCTATCAAATACTAAACCCACAAGTGATAATCCATTTTGCTGGACTTTTAGATCTCAGCTTTCATAAACAGTAATTTTTTTCCCATCTTAATTGTTAGGATTTTCTTTGCTGATTGCCACGTAAGTGTCAAATACAGTCTGTGCAACTTAGCAGTAATTGCCCTCAAATGGAACCAGATGTCAGGCACAACACAAGACAGGTATTGCACATACCATCTTCAAATTTGTCTATCACAACAGAACCATAATTTTTTGTAATGAGTGCTAAAATCTGGCAGTGGACAACAGAAAAAAAAAGTAATCTCAGTAATGAATGGGATAGTGATATTATTCTTCTAGAATATTTGATACACAGTTTTTAGGGTTTCCACCATGTCCTGCTTTGATGTAAAGAGACAACATAAATTCAACTAATGAACTTTAGATGGTGATTTAAGGCGGTATAATGCAGAAGTAAAGTAACATCTTCAACATGAATCTACTCCTTCTGTCAACTTCAAGTGTCAGTTGACTATGGTAAATACCCTAAGGAAGCTAAATAACAAGCTACATGACATCAAAAAATCTAAGAGTATTATGGCAAACACCATGAAATTATTAACTGGTGCAATATATTTGTGCATTTGCAGTTACCTGAGCTTGTGTTCTGTGGTGAGAGGGAGGAAAAGATGAAAGTTATGTTCACAGATCCACTAAAGTCAGTAGCAGAAACACCAATAGCTGCAGGGTTTTATTCCAGGGCGTCCTATGCTTTGCCACACAGCAAAAAACCTATTTTTGTCAGCATCCTACATTTAAATATATCTCAGAAAAGGAGAAGTTATTAAATCTTTCCGTACCTTAGAAGAGTGAGTGGCCAACAGGTTTATTTGTAATCTAAGTTTAACTATCATGCCAGTAAAGAGCATTGAGATCTAAGAACTGCCAGACCAGTTAAAGAAAATGCATTTTCTGGCCTCATACTTCTTTTAGTCTATCCAATAATCCTGTGGAAAAGGCCACATATACTTAAATACAATATAAGCAGAAGTCATCCTGGCAGGTTTTCTCTTTAACCTTCAACTAGTCATTGACTTATGTAAATTTCTTTTTTGGGGAAGAAATTTTTGGTTTCTCATTTTATTTTCCATTACATTTAAGTGCCACTTAAACTTTATTGGAATAATGAATTAAAATATTTACAATTAAACCCATATCATTTGTTTCAGAGTTTGTTCCTTATATGTGGTTGAAGATATATCAGACACATATATTTCTTAGATAATTTATGGAAGATAATTGTGTTGAGAAAGTGTCTGTCAGCCTGTCCAATACATACATGCAACGCGTTCTGCTTCACTTAGTCAATATGAGGTTTTCGCTGAATTTTTATATATTCATATTAAATAACATAAACATTATTCACAGTCTGGAAACCTGTCAAGGAAATGCCATTTACAAATTTAGTATTTTCACAGTCATGTTCCTGTATTGGTAGTATGATCAAAATCCTAAACTAAAATTGGCATATGTATTACCTGGATTTGCTTTATGATTGTCTTAATTTTATATGGATATAGGAAGGGTTCTGCATAAAAATAGCACTTACAGATTTGACTCAAGGTTAATTTAGCTTTCATCAGGCATAATCTTATTGGAAACACATTTCCTCACATAAATTTACATCTTGTACATAACACAGTTTTGACAGTTTAATGAAAGTACCAGTGTTGCAGCTGAGGAACATGTTTAGTGTGTCACATCAACACCTTTACATTTCCTTTGAACTGGAGAAAATCCTGCACCGAAGTAAAACCTAACACTGAACTTTTATGTCTAGACCATAGGTTATTACTTTGTGCAAAGACTTTTGGGTTCGTAATGAGAATTCATTTGCTCCCTCCCTGTCAGGTAAAGGAAGAAAAATAATTACCTTTGATGTGTACATATTGGTCAATAAATCTGCTTCTAATGCTTTCATTTCCTCTTCTGAATCTGGGAATAAACCAGAAACATATGTCTATTATTTGATCATAAATTATGGACATTTCAATTCAGTATACAGAACTTAGATATTTAAGTGATTTTTAGAAATAAACAACAAACACAAATACCAGTGACCTAGAGAGACTGTCAAGAGTCTTCAGTTAACAGCAACATTAGATTAAAATAAATACTCAATACATTTTTAAAGCATGATCAAGCTTGTTGAACTGAATGGAACTGTTCATTTATCTCAGTTTCAAAGCGGAAAGACTCATTAAACTGCAGTTCCTTCAGTATAGAAACCTGGTGCAATATTCTTCATTATTTTCATAATAAATATTTGTGACCTTCCAAAGTAACAACTTTGGAAGAAAAAATTGAGTATTTATTTTCAAAAAATATTTATTTAAGTAGTAATTATTTATGTGAAATGAAGTTATGACTACTTGATTAATAATCAATATTCTTGATTATTCTTAATTAAATTAAGGGCCTTTTTACGATTTGAGGGAACTGAGTTTTACCAGTTTATAATACAAGCTCTTGACAATGTATATACAAGAAAGAAAGCATTCTGACTGGAAGTGTAGGGATTTTCTTTACTGATTTAATCAACCTTTGATAGTTCAGTAGATTTGCAAGACTTGTGATTTGGAAAATAGGGTAAAAACTGCTGTGGAAGGAAAAAAACACAGACACATTTCTACACACAGCGTCACAAGATGAAGATAAGAATCACAATGAAGAACTGGTGACTTGGTAACAGCAATAACAGCTCGAAGAGAAAAAATGTAAGGAATCAATTAAGCCTTCAGGTGAAATACAGTTCCACATAGCTTCTACCTTTCCTGGAATACCAACAGTCCAAACCCAAACAAATGCATTAATATTTCAAACCATACTGAACCAAAATATATTCCATATTCATATAGGTAATATCTCACTTTCTTCAAAACAATCAATGCTGTTGGCATGTAAGACCCTACCACTGAATCTGTGGCTAGATTCTGCCCATGCCTTCATTTCAGGGATCATCACCATGTTGTGCCACTGCCTTTCACAGAACATGAGACTGTAAGGGACCACAAACATGTGCTAATGTGTCACAGGTCTCTATCAGCACAGAAGGCACTCATTACAATGCTCTTAAAAATCAGTCATGTTCAATCTCAATAAATCTCACAACTACTGTCACTTCATTTCTTCTTTAGGAAATGCTTCTAAATGTCATTGCTTACTCACTTGCTTCTGATTTCAATTATTTCTAATTATAAATGTATCCATGGTTTGCAAATAAATTCCTACACTATAAATAAAACCTTTCTATTTGCAATATTTACCCATCATGTATTTATTGAGAGGAGTCATTGCTCTTCCCAGCTTAGTGGTTTTGTGTCCTTACAAGATCAGCAAACAAGTGCAAGATCACTGTGTCTTTTTGGTCAAAAACCACTGCCCTGGAAATCCCATAAATGCTTCATTGAAAGGCTATGCTCAGATTTCTTGGACTGTCTCCTATTCTCCTTCCTTGCAAAAGCTTTGTATTCCCCAACTCATCAGAGCAGCCCTCTTCTGTCCCTGATGTGTTCTCAAGAGAGAACGGCATAGCACAGTTTGGTTCAGCAGCCTCAATACTTAATCACCTTAATGCTTACCATTAGCTACAGAGGGCAGCTGTCTTACATGTCTTTGGTTTGTTTGTTTTTTGTGGCTGAAAAACCCCAAAAACCAGACAATGTCTTTTATTCCTCAGATTTCCAACAGTTGTTCTTCGGTTAAAAAGGAGCTTCTAACAGGAATTTCTATTATTTCCTAAGCCACTGCATTTTGTGTTGTTGCACTCCTTATTACTATTATTTAGGTCATCAAAAACTTCCATGTGTCACACATATCCCCTTCTTCTGTAGGATGCTCCTGTTCACCTTTGCATTACCAACACAAGAGATTAATTCATAATTTTTAGCATCAAAGCAACTGCATTTAAGTGACTTGCTGTAATGCTGATCTACAATCAGTCTTATTCAATGTTTAATTTTTCATATTAAATAGGACTAGTTGTAGACCAGTCAGCAAGTCTCTAGCAACTGATCTCCAGCCTAATGCCTTTCAGCCCTTTCAGCAGGAATGGCAGTCAGCTTTGCCAGCTTTACCATTAGCCAAAGTTCTGCTGGCAGCACAAGATCACCTCAGCTGAATTTCTATCAATGACAGCATCTTCTGTGAGCAGGTGAGCACACACACAATGACAGCATCGTGATTTGTGGGGTCCTGGATGACACCAGCTGAGAACAACAAAAGGACCTGTGCCCAGTTAGCACCTGGGTTTTGTTCCTATCAAGGATGTAAGGTAGCTTCCACACATCAAGACTGGAAGATAGCTGCAGGCATGAAAGATGGGAAGGAAGGTATTAAGAAGCATTTGGATTGGGAAAAAATAAATCTAGGGGACATTATTTAGGAGTCAAGATTCCTTGAGTGAAGAATAAAGTAAGGCTTGGAGGGAGAGAACGAAGCATGTTCAGGTAATCCAGGAGTCAAAAGAGATGGATGAGGAGCAAAAGCATAAAAAGAACAGACTCTCAGAAAGCAGTGTATAAAAAGTCTGGTTATACATTATTGTGAAAATTGGAGAGAAATTCAAACAATTTAATGTATTCTCAACTCCACTGACAAAGAAAATTAGTTTCTACTCATATATTTCCATTCTACAGGTACATACTTAGACCTGAGGGCAAACTTTTTTAGGAGAAAATTTAATTTTATTTTTTCTTACAGTATAACTGTCCATATTAGTTACAGATTATTTGAGCCCCTTCACACAAGCTTCTCTGTGCCGTTTCTCATTTACAAATAATTTCAAATTTTCAAGCAAATGAACCATTTTGTTAGTTCCCCACACAATTTTGCCTCTGGGGCATTTTTTATGAACATATTTTAATTCCCACTTAATTTATTTTTACTTTACTGGTCGTTCATTAAGGCTCTATAACAAGTTGAATTTGAAAATGCTTCACTGAAAATACTAGTGAGGAACTTGTTTAAAAAGCTTAGAAATATATGGGCAGGAAAAACATGCTAAGCTTTGTCACTGAGATCATGCATTCTCTATAACATACAGAATAATTATATTTAAACTGTAATAAAATGCAGGTATTATATGGTTTACATTTTTTTCTGCAGGGGAACACAAACTGTAAACTTCTGTCTAAAGTGAGAATTAGGAATTCTGAGTCCCTCTGAACACTAAAGTTGAAAAATAAAGTTACCTGTAAAATTACTCCGTAATTTAGTGGATTTAAAAATCAATTTTCAAGTTAGTTCAGATTGAATTTTGCAGGCTATTCTGCTGCATATATACGTGCATACACCTGTTTAACTATCACCACACCTATTTGGTCATAAACTTTAGATATAAATGACAGATGCTTAAGATGTGTCATTTTTCAAAGAAGCAAGAAGTGCATTTTAATATATTGTCCTCATTTTGAGCTTTTTAAAGCAGTTGCTCTTGGAGAAGAAAGGCATTTACATCAACCTTCTTACTGTGTAATTTTCCTGTGCTTCAGTGTTTTTTTTGGTCATAATTTCAGATTTGTTGTTAGCAACTTTTTCTCCAGACAATAAAATTATGTTTCTCTTTCTAAAAAGCAACTGAAGAGCATACATATTCATGTTGATTTGGATTACAGCAGCTATTCATGCGTTGCAGAAATTACCATTTGTGTCTTAATTTGAAAATACATGATATTCAATGAACCACAGCACAGCTAAGCAGATGGTCTGCACTGATCTGTATTTCCAATGACTAGTCTACACTAATTGCCGTGGTATGGATGCTGCGAGGAGGAATGGATTATAGGAAGAGCGAAAGTTAGAGGAGTGATATAAAAAAACAATGATGCTGGCCAGAGCCCGTTATCAGAGGCGGCTCCCGGGCCCCTAATGGGTACAGCCGGCGGGAGCTACGCGGCTTCACCTCCTTGCTTTGGGCGCCTCTTCGGGCTGCGGGAGCGGCGCAGCGCGGGCGCCCAGAGGGGCTTCGGGGCCGGGCGGAGCGGGGCGCGCCCGGCCGAGGCGGCGGCGGGCACTTACCTGAGCAGAGGCTGCAGGAGGCCAGGGCCAGCAGCACCACGCACACCAGCTGGACTCTCATCCTTGCCGCGCCTCCCTCTAGAAAGTAAAGTCCATAAATCCTAGGGAGAGACGGAGAGAGAGAGAGAGAGAGACAGACAGAGAGACAGAGACAGAACCGCGCCGCTCCTCGCCCTCCGCACGCGTGCTGACGGGCGGCTGCAGGCACCAGACGGGGGACCCAGACCCTTCCCCAACTATATAAGCCGCGGGGTGATGTCACGGCTGTACGGCCATCGCCTCCTGACGAAGCTCCCTCCCTCCCTGCCTCTCCCCCCTGCCGCTGCCCCCTCCCCGCCGCTCCGCGCCCGCTGACGCCACTCTCCGCCTGACGCACGCGGAGCCCCGCGGGGCGCGCAGCGAACCCCGCACTCACGGCCGCGGGGCGCGCCCGGCGCGGCTCTTCCCGAAGGGGAACTATCCTGGGATTTTTTTATTATTGTCATTATAAAAAACGTTTCCGCAGGTGCTCCGTCCCCAGCGCGGGGCCAGGGGTGGGGAGCGACCGCGCCGCCGTCCTCGTGCGGTTGACGCCCTTTTTCTTTCATCTGTAGAACCCTTTGCCTACAGCAAGGGAAGGAACCGCGCACGGGGGACGGCAGGAATGTTAAACCGGGGATGGGCAGGGAATGCCTGAAATGGGGCACGGCAGGGATATAACCCTGGCCATGGGTAGGAGTGTTGCATCGGGCACGGGTAGCAGGAAAAAAGGGGAAGAAACAAAAAGGGAAGTCTGAATGTGTGAGAGATGGAGCAAGATAACGGGAAAAGCCACCTGATAGAGTGTTTCATAGATGCGCAAAAAATTGAGACCCGACCAGGCGAGACTCCCTGTTAGTTCTGAAGAGCGCTTGCCACAGCCACCCGCTGCAGTATCAAGAGAGCGAGCGCTACTCAGAGACATATCTCTCGGGATGTACTTCTCACTGTTGATTTTTCCACTAGGTATCCTTCCTCAAAGACTAGCACAGAGCAGGCTCCGCGCCAGCAGCCCGAGGTCGGAAGGGAGCGGGACACGCCGGGACCCCAGGCGGAGGCAGGGCGGCGGCGGGACGGGCGCGCTCGGTCCCGGGCGGGGCGCGGGGTCCCGGCTCCGCACCGCTCGCCCTGCCCTCCGTGCCTGCCCAGCACCCCCTGTCTGCTCCGGGCTCTCTTTCTGCCTCTCAGCTTCTGAGCCGTAAAGCCCAGAAAAATGACCCGAAGGTGAGGGCAGGGTAACCTCCAATGTGTGAGTATAAAAACGTAAAGCTGAAGACTGGCGTCAGCCTCCCTCGCGCTACTGCTTTTGCTGTGAGGTTTTGGGGGTTTTTTGGGTGTTTTTTTTTTTTTTTTTGGTTTTTGTTTTTGGTTTTCTCTGCTGAGATACAGACGAATGCTCCATATGTTGAATACAGATACAGATACAATGCAGAACATTTCTGTCTCTCTGAATACATTTAAGGACAGATACACGTGTCACACGTAGCAGGAACACACGCTGTGAGTAGATTTTTCTGTCCTGGATGTTCCCTTAACCACAGAAACGTTCCTTAAAAAAGCAAAGAGCAGAGATCGGTGTTGTTTTCCTCCCATACCCTCTGCGACTGAATAGGTGTCGCAGGAACACCCAAAATTTTCGAAATTCTGCCACAAGGAACACCTGGTGAAAAAAGTTTAATCAACTGAGTTTTTTCTTCCCCGAAAAATCTTTTGCAGCACAACAAAATTTAAATTCAATTGTTGCTTTGGTTTATGCTGAAATAAATACACACAGAAATGGAGAGCACTGGGGTGGTATTAGATGCTTTAATAACACGGATTTTTTTGCATGCAATTGGGAACATATCCTTCTGTCCTACTGAGAGAGAAAATAAAAATAAACAAGACCCCCAAACCCCCAAAACATATTTATCACATTTTACGGGCTGTGCTAGTCTACAAGAAAGTTTCAGCTATCATTCATATGCCTGAGAATCCAGGTTAGATGAGGTAGACACTCACACTTCCCTCTAGTCCTATTTTCTATGATTTCCATGATATAGAAAGACCAATCTGCAGCTAATTTTGCTCTGTGGGTGTTCAATAGTTCAGAAAGCTCTATGAATGAGAATCATATTTCATAGATATTTTCTAGTGCCCACTTTCTGTCACAGAGTTCTTCAATAGCCTAATTACCCATATTCTTATGTAACTGGAATTTAAAGGAATGATTTTTTTTCCTCAGGAAGAGACTAATTGCCATTTTCCCTGCCATTAAAATCTGTGATTGCTTAATTGCTGCCTTTTTGGTTTTATTTTTTTTTTTCTTTTTCTTTTTTTTTTCAGAGGTAATATTTCCTAGTGATTTGAAAAGGACAAATATATGGTATGTTTTGAACCATATTTTTTTGCCATTGGTCTCTTTCCATTCTCTTTTTCTTGGAAACTGACAAGGCAGAAACTTCAGTGTTGAAAATCTTCTTTGCTTTCATACCATGTTTTATGTTCTGGATGTATTATCTTCAAGTTCCCTGGATCAGGCTCAACTGAGCTTGGACAATTATATTTTTTTCAGTAGAACTCAGCTGTCATCTGATTCTCAGATACTCCTTTACTTACTTTTTCTACCTCTTTCCTACATCTGTACCTTGTACTGCTTCCCAAAGAATTGTATAATAATAATTTTAACCCTTTCAACAGTTAATTTCCTAAATCACCTCAACTTCAAGTCATCTTCATATCACATTTCTCCCAATGCAGAAGAAAAACTTATAAAGAAAAAGCCAGATCTTTGCAGATCTGTCTCTCTCTCCCTTCTATTTTTAAATATTCTTGGCTAAAGAAAATATTTATAACTATTCATTAGTGCAAGTCAATTTCAGAAGCTCAGTTTATCTTTACTTGCTCTCAGCATGTGATTTAGACAGCCTGTCCAAGCCTATAAATCAGGTCAATTCACAACTATGAGGCACTAGAGATACGGAAACAATCAGGTAAATGGCAGATTCATGGAAGAACAGATACATAAATCTCTATTTACCTTGTCATAAAACTACCATCATAGCATATGGATAACACCGAACACAAAAGCTGTAATCACCAAACAGAAGGAGAGTACCATTCTTCCAATGTTCCTGCAGTAGAAGGTACTGGGGATTATAATAAGGAACTCTCAGTATTGCAGTTACCAGTCTTATGTCTTTGGAATAGAAATAAACACAAAATGAATGGAAGAAAATTCAAGATTCTCAATCTTGCCATTAAATACATTTATGTCTCAGAATTTTAAATTTTTTTTAAATTTTTGAACTAAATTTAGCAGTAGTTATATAAGTATGAAAACTCCAAGGGCAATCATTTTGGGGGTGGTCATCAAGAAAGTATTTCATACAGCAAACTGGCTAAAGATACTCAGAATCTTAAAGTTGATTTTAGTTGTGGTGATTAACCTGCTTTGTCCCTACAGCATTTTAGGTTAACATGCTGGGCAGAAAACTGACTCAAATTAATTTCTATCAGGTCAGGTCAAGGGACAAGCTCAAGCAAAGCAACAGGACAGACAGTCAAGGGAATTCAAAGCACATTTAAATCAAGAATGTAGTCAGACACTGCAGCAGAATTTCCCAAGCATTGTGAATTCTCAGCATCTCTTTTCCTGACCTTAAAAATAAGTCAAGGGGGTCTATTGTGTTTGGTCAGCACAGTGATGCTCAAAATTTGATGGTGTATTCAACTGTTGAAAGTCCTGGAGACCTCCTCTGCTGCAAAGGATATCAGAAAGATTTCAAAAGTAAAAGGCAGATGGTGCTTTACACATTAGATCATTTTTAGTAAGTAAAACATTGAGCATCCTCTCTACTTCAAAGCTAATCTCCTTTAGTCATTCTAGGACTCAATTTTTTAGATTTGTGAGGTTGTGCACTTTGAGGAATCCTTGAGAAGTTGACTGAGTAGTACCAAAGAGCTTACTGATACAGAAAGAAACCCAAACACATAAGCAACTACATTATCGTCTGAATCAGAAGAATTTCTTAATATGCAGCACATTTCTGCCACATTTTAAGGAGCCACAAATCTGTAGAAACTTCCTGGACGTCCAGTGAGCTCACCCTTCGTGTTTTAGAGTTCTGGAATCTAAAACCATGAAAGTGGCATTCTGTGCAGCTTCTCCATATGGGGTATGCATGCATGACAGAGCTTTTTTTGGTGCTGTGGAGTTTCGAACAGTGACACCAGCTCAGTACCCCAGGGAATCATGATCTTCAAATCATGGAAAGCTTACAAGTATCATTTCAACAGAATAATTTGAAGTATCTTTTCTCTTTTAATTTTTTTTCCCATTAAAGCACCGCCATTACATTTCCAGAACTTTAGGATTCTCTAACCCTTCTCATGAAAAAATAGATTCTATAGTTACTTTACTTTATAGTAAAGTATAGTAGTACTTACTACTATAAAGTAAACACAACATGTATGCAACAACACACCAACAGTTAAAACAACTGAAAATGCAAAATTTTAAGACATACACGTACACACACATCTATAACCATTTGGAAATTGTTTAATAGAAGTCAGTTTGGATTAAAAAAGGCCATAAGAAAACAGTATTCACTCTTACTCCTAGTGTCCATTTCCTTTTAATTTTTTTTTCCCTTTTACTAAAATGCTTTTATATGAGAAAGCAAACAATGCAGTTAGAAGTGCCACCACAGTGTGTCATGGGAGTTATGCTTCGGGCACCTCCTCCTTACTCTCACTTCTCAGCAATTCATTCTCAGGCTAGAATGAATCTTTCTCATTTCTCTGATTACACATTTTCCCCAAATACCTAATTTAATATTTTTTTCATTTCTCTCCAGTGAGCTATGAAGATTTTAATTTAGGTTCCAGGGTATAATTTATACAAGAGACATGGGTGAAAAGCCTGATATAACTTTGTTGAGTATTGAATATTCATGTAATCCACTGTTCATCAGAGTGATCATGCTTGGAAATTTTGTGTTATAATAATGAAATAGTTAAAAATTGCAAAATTATTGTCTTCATATTGTTACTCTTGGACTCATAACAATGACTACTGACAATTCCTGAAAGAGCAAAATGAAATTGATTTCAGAGGGTTGACTCTCTTTGTCCCATGATATTCAGTTTTTGTCAGCAATTATTCTTCAGCATTCCATGGAACATGGTAACTGAAGACATAAGTATGCACTGTTATATTACCCTGGTTCAATTATGCCATATAAATAAGAATTGGACTCCACACTCTGCAACTTTTGAAATCATCTCTCCTGCCTCCTTCACAAATTTCTCAAAGAACTGTGATTTTTACTCGTACCCAAAAGAGAATTTACTTTAACTAGTTATTTAAAATCACACAGCCATGAAGAGATTTTGAATTAAAA